CTTTCCATTGCCCATCAATTTCCAGCTCACAAATATAATATAAAACTCATACTTTAGTTAAAGCCTTTGCCCTTGTCCCCTTTGCCATGATGAAGCCTTGACTTCACAAAGATGCCAAAAGCTTCAGAAAATATCTCATTTGCAAAGGTAATTCCTTGTTACCAAGAGTTATGGTAACAAGAAATTAAGATGACACAAAGGAGGTAAAAGCTGGCCAAATCCGGATTTCCAGAGCTGTGGTAACATGCTGGATTGGTTGGATAGGCAATACTTGTCCAATGGAGCTCAAATTTGGATATGTTGTAGTTAACATCCATTGGAACAAGTCTCATGAAGATCATGACCTCATCCGAGCACCAGAGCATGTTGATCCCAGGCCAAGAAGTTGACCTACGAAAATGAACAAAAACAGAATTTATGACTAATAATGCACTTTTAGCTCATTTTCATCCCAACCAAGGTAAAACCTATTAAAACACAAAAAAGAAGTAAAAAGCTATAAAATGTCAAGAACTAACTCAAAATAGTGGGTGAATAACATGAAAAATCATGTGTAAAAATGAACCGAACACTTAGTATACAATAATACACAAGGAAATTAAAAAATTGCTCATTCTCTTTTTGGTTTAAATATAATAATTTCATTTCAACAAAGCAAAAGTACATGAATCATAAAAAATAAAAATCATAACTTCTAACATTCAACAAAACAACCTATTCTTTGACAATAAGTTCTCAAGTAACCCTTTTTTTTTTTGGTCGAAAGGTGTTCATTAAACCAATAAAGAGAATCAACAAACCACCTAACAAAAGATAGAGGCCAAGCCCCAACAACAATTTGTGGAAGGAAAAGCAAGAGTAAAACTCAACAGAGACCAACATATAGAGTTTAGGGTGAGAAAAAATAGTTTGCTAGATAGGAAAAAAAAAAAAAAGTTCATAAATCTGATTACCTTTTCAAATTTTCATGCTCCTCTCCTCTTGGCCACCACCATCAATCTTAAAGACAAAGATCAAAGAAGAAAAATTGCGAACTTTTCAGTGAGAGATCAATTCTTTTAGGGTTTCAATATGAGAAAAGAGGGATGAGAGAAACTTAAAATAATATATTGAAGATAGATTAATTGGGATAACAGATAATAATACGGTGGATTAAATTGAGAGCATGTTCCATGGAGAAACTAGGAGTACGAGAACCAAAGTCTTCTCGAAAGAGGAAAGCATGGGGAAGAGGAATCATGTTTTTCTCATTTAATTTCAGCATGTTTTTCTTTTTTCTTCTTTTTTTTAGATTAGACGCTTGATATATATATAATATAAAAAAGTTTTGGGGCCCCCTTAATTGGAGTCCCATGGCCATCGCCCTTCTAGCTCAACCCCAAGGCCAGCCCTTCTATAGTGAAAAGATTGAAGGCCCTTCAACTGATCGTATAATGTTCCTTGTATAATATTTCTGATCTAATTCAATTAGGACTCAAATTAATGGTGACAAAATTCATATCAATCCCTTAGCAATTTCCCTTTATTGCCAAGCAATCCGTATTAGCTCTTCTTAACGAATTTGCATTTGGCACATGGGGTGCCACCACAATGGAAAAGTGGGTCAATCTCTCCCTTCTCCCCTCCCTCTCTCCCTCCCCATCCAAGTGCACCCATGTTTGATACACGTAGGCGACAATCTTTATGCAATTCAATATATTATATAATACTCCCCCTCCCTAGCGAATTACCCAAAAAAGAATAATAATAATAAAAAATTGTACTTGACTTGCATGTTTACTACTTGTAAACTGTGTCCAAATTTGACCCCAAAAAAATTGCGTCCAAATACTCGCGTCAGCCCAAATGTAGTCATTTATTCAATGGCTTTAAGTTTAGGCCCAAACAAACAATCACCATCTAAAGATATCTATGCCAAAAAAAAATTCAATCAAAATGAAAAAAAAATAAATGTAAAGATTGAAGATCATTTAGTCATCCTTATATATCAAATATACCAAATATACCAATGATTTTGGATTTCTTCATTCCAAAATAACTAAAATCAACTTCATTATCCATATTAAATTTAGGGTTTTCTACGGGTTTGCCTCCTAGTTAAATTATTCGCATATTGTCAATTTAGTCCCTTAACAATTTTTTCGGTAAATTAAGGACTTTTTAAATGCCAATTGAGGGCCTACCGTATATTCTTAAGACTCCCATCCACTTTGCCGTCAATTTTTGCACGTGCACGTGACCCATTTTCCTTACATTGGGTTAGGAGAGATCGTGTTTTACATTTCAAATTGGGAAGTTATCTATGATTCGAGCTGGGTTGGGCAGAGTTAAGGGTGCTGGCAAATTTGGGTGGCATCGAGAACGAATATTTCCGAGATTGAGGTGTGATTGATCAATGAAATGGGTTTTGCGCTCAGAGATGGTGGAGAGCATCCCATTTGTTGTAAGTGTCCACTTTCTCTAACTTTCTATCACTTGTTCCCTCACTCTCTCTAACTTTGTCTCACTTTCTCTCATTGGAGTTGGGTTTGACGAATATTGTACTATTAATCCACTAAAAATATATCTTCAGTGGTCCCTAAATTGTCGATTTTGGTCTGACTTAGATTCCTTCACTATACTTGTCTTCTATGGTCTCCTATGTAATTTTTGTGTGCAATTGTTTATGTTTAGTTATGTTGTATATTGTATTGACAGAGATTGGTTGTGTTTGTACTTTAGTTAACTAGTATATGTTATAAATGTGGCAGATAGGAAGGATAAATGTGGTAGATAGGAAGTAACTCTCATTAATTAATGATATGCAGCGGATCCTGACCTATTTACACTGGAAATTCACCATGGAGGTTATTTTACGGATGTGTTATACATGGGGGTTATTGTGCAGTGAATTGACAACTTTGCTAGGGATTATGTGTCAATGCTGGCCTTATATGACTTGGCAGTGGAACTTGGCTACCAAAAAGAGACCACTAAGTTCTTTTTTAAGGCGAAAAAGAAAGGGTTGGGTTCCAATTGTAGTTGATAACTGATACAGCACAACAACCAGAGGGTTTAGGCAGTGAAGCATCTGCAAATGAGCATTTGCAATCTGAGATTACTGAGGAACAAGAAGGTGAGAGAAAAGCTAATCTGTTTGGGGATTATGGGCATATAGATGCAGATTTGTTTGGGGATTTTGGAGAAGTACATGTAGATCTGATTGGTGATAGCAATTTTGACACGTTTGTGGATGTTGATGCAGTTGATGAGGGTTACGAAGGGGATAATGGTGAGGAGTTTGACGTTGAAGTGCAAAACACTACATATGTTTCTAGTGGTGATGAATTTGAATATGAATTAGAGGATGATGAAGATGTGGCTGAGGAAGTCAGTGGTGATGATGTGGAAGATGAAGAGTTCAGAGAAACTGACTTTGAGCAAAGTGAAGAAGATGACAACAAGTTTCACAGATTTGTTGTAACTAAAGATCTTGATGAAGACCAGCATAAAGAACTATGGGAAGAGATAACTGATGAGTATGATATAGATGACCTTAGAAGTGTACATGGAGAAGACAGTGATGAAGTTCTTGAAGTGAGAGGCAAGATTAGAAGAAGAGCTCCAAAATTCAAGCAATATATTAATTTAATTATATTAATTTTTTTCGAATTTTTACTTTTTAAATTTAATTTAATTGTATGATTTTATTTTTTTTAATTACTTTAATTTAAATTGACATATTCAAAATAAAATTACATATGAAAAATAGTGGCCAAATTATCCAATATATATAATATTCAAAATGTACACATAAATTAACAAAGTACAATAATAAAATCCTAATACAAGCCTATTGTGGTGGTAGTGGTGGAGAATATGTTTCGATAGCGTCCTAATCCTCAACTTTATCCGTCAAAGTCTCGATGATTCCCAACAAAAAAATAAATATGGTCAAATAACCAAAAAAAAAACATAAAATAAATAACAAAAAATTGGCATAATCTCCCCTAAAATTGTTATACCCCAAATCCAACCCAAACTCCAATTCTAACCCTATACTCAACCCCAAACCCGGCACAAACTCAAAACTAACTCCAAAAACATATATTAATGAAAAAAATTTAAAATTTGGAGAGAATATACCTTTGGGCAAGATTTTGAGTGAGTGAGAATGAGAGGGAGAAGTAAGTGTGAGAGAATTAGAGAAGATAGTGAGAGAGAGAGAGATGAAAGAGTGAGTGAGAGTGAGAGATGGAGAAAAAAGAGATGAGAGAGTGAGAGATAGTGGAGAGAGATGAGAGATTCAGTGAGAGGAGTGGGTTTGAGAGAAAAGGTCGGATTTGGGGAGAGGGAAAGAGAGAGGAGAGGTAAGAGTAGAAGACATTGAGAAAATGGTGGAGGAGTTATTTTGGTTTTAAAAACCGTATCACTTTGCGCGATAAAAAATTATATTGGTCGCGCAAAGTCTTAAATTTTAATTTTTTTAAAATTCCCTATATGAATACAATGTTTGAATTTTATCTTCAATTTAAAATATTTACACTAGTGGATACCACAAAATCTTATGTTATATTTAAGAAAAGTATAAATAAACTCTTAATTGTTAGTGAATATATTGTTTTGATGGCGTACGCATTCTACGAAACTAGTTTCAACGATCCAACCGTCAAACTTGTTCGTTTATACTTCGAGATCATATACGCCAAAAATCGGAAAAAAATAAACATTCAGAGATCAAGTAATGGGACAAAACATTTCGACGGTTATAAATGAAAAATCACGATTTAACGGTTATTTCAATTTCAATTTTACAGCTACACTCCTTGACCCTATATGAATACAATGAACTAATTTGATCGTCAATCTAAAATATATATTTTCTAACAAAAACCTAATCTGAACTACAATAATATATTTTTCTAACAAAAATCCGATCCGAACTAAAATAATAAATTTAAAGCTACTTAATATACCGTTTAATTTCGTAAGTGTTATGCATACAAAATATAAAAAAACAAAAATAAATCGGTTTAGGTGACGAAATATTTGGATTACGTCATGCAAAGATTTTAAAACATAATTTTTTTATTTTATTTATTTTTGTAAAGACTTTGCGCGACGAATCAGACTTGGTAGCGCAATACTTTGTGCAACGAAGTCTATTGATTGGTCGCGCAAAGTCATGCGAAAATTTTTAAAAATAATTTTTTTAATTTTTAAATTTTTGTAAAGACTTTGTGCGACGAACTACGTTTGGTAGCACAATACTTTGTGCAACGAAGTTAAGTGATTAGTCACACAAAGTCATGCAAAGATTTTAAAGAATAATTTTTTATTTTATTTAGTTTTTTAAAGACTTTGCGTGACGGACAACGCTTGGTAGCGCAATACTTTGTGCAATGAATTTAGTAATTGGTCTCGCAAAGTCATTCAAAGATTTTAAAAAATAATTTTTTTATTTTATTTATTTTTGTAAAGACTTTGCACGACGAACAACGCTTGGTAGCGCAATACTGTGTGCAACGAAGTGAAGTGATTGGTCACGCAAAGTCATGCAAAGATTTTAAAAAATAATTTTTTTATTTATTTTTATTTTTTAAAGACTTTGCACGACGAAATTTACGTCGTTGCACAAATCTTGTGCAACGATGTTTATTTTCATCGCGCAAAGTGACTTTGTGCGACGATGTGTATTTCGTTTCGCAAAATTTAGTCACATAAGACCTTTAGTGATGACGTTTTGTCTTTCGTCGCTCAAAGTGACTTTGAGCGACGAATTTTGTTTCGTCGCGCAAGGGTTTTTTTTTACTAGTGATGTCATTTGATGTTGAGAACACACAGAATGTTGGACCAATAATTTTTACCACTATGGAAAAAAAAAATCTAGTTGACAGAGGGCAATGCATTGCTTAAAGTGCCAATGAGGGAAAGTTTCATGTTACATATGTATGGAGCACAATTTGCAGTGGATTTGAACACACACACATGCTCTTGTAGCAAATGGGATTTGTGTGGACCACCTTGTATCTATGGTCTTGCTGCCATTTCAAGGCAACAAAGGAGCCCAATGCAATATGTGTACCCTACATACAAGAGAAAAGCATATGAGAGAGATTATGAGAATTTTATTTCCCCTATGTCAAGTGAAGATTTGTGGATCAAAACTCATCATAGGCCAATCAAACCTCCTGTGTACCACAAACAAGCTGGGAAGCCAAAGAAATGTAGAGTGAGAGAGCCATACAAGATCCCAAGAAGTACAACTAGATTGAGGAGGTATGACATGATCATACATTGCAGAAGATGTGGCCAACAAGGTCACAATGCTATTAATTGCCAAGCTGATGGGGGAAAGTACTAGTAACAATGCACCAAGGAATGCACTAAGGGTAAAACGTGGCAGAAGAAGGTCACAACCTGCAAATAGCCAACCTAAAATAACTCAAGGTGAAACAAGCCAATCTCCAAGCTCTGATGCTACAACTAGGCCACTAAGAAGGGCAAAGCTACAAGTAAAGATTGTGATTTTAAAACAATGTGAAATGCATGCTATTTGAACTTGACTGGTGATTTCATGGAAATTGATTATTTGTGATAATTTAATGCAGGCTATTAGAGGAGGATTGAGAGGTCGATGCACAAGTCAATCTAGGGGCAGAGGCACCACTACTCAAACTGCTCAAAGAGAAATGGGAGAGAGAGGAATAAGTCAATCTAGAGGCAGAGGCACAACTAATAATGGTGCTGGAGGGAGAGGAATTGCTTTCAATGTTGGGGGAGGGCTTGTAACTCCTCCAAATACTAGTGGAAGGGGAGGAAATCCTCAAAATACTATTAGGGGGAGAGGTATTGCTTTCAATTTTGGGGGAGGGCTTGGAACTCCTCCAAATGTTGATGGATGGAAAGGCAATCCTCACAATGCTATGGGGAGGATAGGAATTGCTCAAACTGGTCAAGGGAGAGGAACTCCTACTGTGTTTGTCTATACTAGGGGTTCACAAGATGAGTCAATTATAACAACTACATCTATAAGGTATAAATCTCCAATAAAGAAGGTAAAAACTCATCACAAGTAGTTTCCATAAACTTTTGCAAGTGTGGAAGGCTTTACCTTTAATTGATGGATGACTTTTGAGTTTGTGGATGGCTTATTTTGATATAATAGAACATTTGGTTGGTTAGGATTAGACTTATTTTGGGAATGATTATGTATTGGGTAATGTAAGGGAATGTTTATGGACCTATTTGGTTAGAGCTCTTGTTATAGCTCTTGTTTTGGTGTGCAAGTTTGCACAAATCTGATGCATATTTAAACTTTGTTATAACTCTTATTTTGGTATGCAAGTTTGTACACCACTCCTTGCATGAATCATCTGAATTTTGTTACATCTCGTGTTTACCTTTGTATTTGGATAAAGGAATTGTGAAACTTTACATTCAATTCCTACGGATTTTTTGTTACACCAATTTCATTATGCTTCACATTTGACATAGTTGTTCACGTGTGCAAATTGGATATTAATGTGCAAACACAAACATACTTTAATTTCAACTACATTTCAATAAAAATCCAAGTACATACACTAGCAGATACAAACAAACCTTATAGACTCAAAAGCCAATAACATTGTTGTTCACATACATAAACAGACCTTACACACTCAAAAGCCAAGAACATAGTTTTTCATATACATTAACAGACCTTACACACTCACCTTACACACTCAAAAGCCAAGAACATAGTTTTTCATATACATTAACAGACCTTACACACTCAAAAGCCAAGTACATCAAAGCATTTTCATTACATTAATTCCAATTTTGGATTTTTCCCCACCCTATTTTTCCATTTCCAAAACCCATAAACAAACACACATAACATTACACTTAAACATATCCCAACCAAAAACTGAAGCTTTTTCTTTCCAGCTTTTTGTGACTTCACTTCCTCTTCCATGCTTCTCATGTTTCGCAAGAGCCCAGGAATGATTTGCTTTGAATGTTCACACATTTTTGAGTCCACCCACTCTAACAAATCACACCCACCACTTTTGTGCATGATTGTTCATATTAGAAAATAAACAACTAAAAGCAACAAAAATTTCATCAAACTCACCCATGCTAGTTCAGAACTTTTGATAGAAGGTTTCCCGGTTGCATTGGTTAGTAGATCCCCATTAGTAGGAGGTGTTGATTCATCCTACCTTTCTCCAGTTGCTGGCTGGTTTGGGTCTAGGCAGAGAAAGACAAATTTACAGTTCTGTGTCCAAAATTCCTATACCCTAATTGCAAAAGCGCAGAAAATCCTTAAATTTATTCTAAATTTTCTTGACTCAACCCGTTTGACCATCGTGGTGTGAATTTTCTGAAATTAGGGTACAGGAATTTTGGAACTACTCGCAAAGCTAACTAAACTTTCCACCATCCATACAACTGCAAGTTGTGAATTCAGAGATTCTTATTGTTATTAGGAACCTACAGTAGTAACTTCAATGAGGAATATATATTGGACAAGGAATCCATGGATCT